CACGTGAACAAGGTCTGGACGTTCAACTCCTCTGTCACGATTACTTGTGCGTTCGTGCTAACGTAAGCATCGATGGATCCCAAGGAGTTCCATCAACTCAATTTCATTCAAAAGGTTTGTGTCATGCTGTAGTATTTTGAGACGCTTTCCGAAAGTGTCGCAAGCTTGGATCGCCCTCTCAAGATAACAACAAGAAGTCACCTTACTGACAAATCGAGATTCGAACCCGGGTCTTATGGTCAGAAATCGAACGTTCTAACCACTTGATCACGTGTCCATACATAGATACATACATACATGCTGGCTACCACATGTTATTCAGATGACTGCCACGCCTCATCCTCGCATCATATGAGATGACTTTCGTCTCATATCTGTATCTATGGTCCCTAAGAAACATTGTTTGTATTGATTCGACCTGCATGCTCTACATCTCTCTTGCGTACCCTATGTGCCACCATAGTCCGGGTGATGGTCTGCAATTGCGCTTTCATAGTCCGGGTGATGGTCTTCAAATATGCCTTTTGCCCTCACAGTCCGGGTGATGATCTGCAATCGTATCCCCATAGTCCGGGTGATGGTCTGCAATTGTGCCTCCATAGTGCGGATGATGGTCTGCAATTATGCCTCCATAGTACGGGTGAGGGTCTGCAATTGTGCCTCCATAGTCCGGCTGATGGTCTGCAATTATGCCCATGGTCGGGTGATGGCCCGCAATTGTGCCCTCACAGTCCGGGTGATGATCTGCAATCGTATCCCCATAGTCCAAGGTGATGGTCTGCAATTATGCTTATAGTCCGTGATGGTCTGCAATTGTGCTTTCTACATAGTCTGGATGATGGTCTGCAATTGTGCCTCCATAGTACGGGTGAGGGTCTTATTAGTTACATAGTCCGTGGATGGTTCGCATCAGCTTACATAGTCTGGATGATGGTCTGCAATTGTGCCTCCATAGTACGGGTGAGGGTCTGCAATTGTGCCTCCATAGTCCGGCTGATGGTCTGCAATTGTGCTTCCATAGTCCGGGTGAAGGTCAGTTATTGTCGGCAGAACGATAAGGCAGGTTGGCATAACTGGCTCGCTTTTAGTTGTTATGATGACCTTTGAGAGATGGTTTACATAACCTGCCCTCGAAAACAGCATGCGCTCCCACACAAAGACTATATTTCGAAGATGTATATAACCAGAATGAGTACCCTTCTTCGAGCTCACACTTGATCTAAATATACTGAGACATTTATTCTCAAAGGCATTGCATCCCCTCCCTTTTTATAAAGTATCCCCTGACTCCGTATGATTTAAAGTCAGTTCTTCCCACTGCTGCACATCCATGTACAATGCATTCAGATTATCCTTCAGTTTATCTTTAATCCTTTTTTCTAGGAATGTGTTGTGGACGCTTAGTCCGGGTAAAATCATCATCATTAGAGCTGTTATGATTTGAAAGCACACTTAAAGCGTAATTTCTCGGGTTCAGCATGTCTGGTTGTTTCCGGGTATGCTCGTCTTTTAGAACCCATTTGGTTCTTCACCGTCACACGGTACCAATCTGTGGTTTATACTGCAACTATGTTGAGCGGACTTTAATTCATGCATGTGCCTCTCCAAGAATAAATATGCTTTAGGATTTATAGTTGTCTTTTCCTACACTGGCTTCAGCTGTGACTAGAGAGTTCAATTCGCCTGATGTTTAATCCGCAGCTGATGTGACGTGGAAAAAGAGCTGATTCAGATCTTTCCCAAGAATATTTTTTTACGAAAGGGCATGCAAAGAGCTTGACTGAGTTCGAACCAGATCGCCGAGTTGTCGCTCTGAACTCGCAACTATTACTCATGTGCAGGCTGTTTCCGCAGAATGCGTTTTTTTTTTTTAATGATATTTTGGGTAATTTTACATGGTGGAAAACCTTCTTCTCCCCAAATAGCATGTGACTGACTTTTATTGAGTCACACAACAGAAGGGGATTTGCAAACTTTATCTGAAACACACCTTCTCCAAATAGGTATTAGTATAAATGCGAATGCAAACTACTTGAGTAGAATTTGAAATCACTGTCGAATTCCTTTTTTCTTATTTTTTTAATATTCGACCTTTTCTGCACCTGTATACGCCATACATGCACGCAAAATGAATAGAAAAAAGGATTTTACTTATCAAAAAAATGACTGACCTTTACAGATATTTTTCAAGATGGCTTTATGACGTCATCGTTGAATGAGCCAATCAGGAGGCTAGCTTATTTTGGATCCTTTGGTTTTCGTATTTGAAACCTTAAGTGAGTAGTTACCGACTACTATAGAAAGTGGATGCTGTGGTCATTTGGTAAAACAAGTAGGGGTTTATATTTTTAAACGTTTTTGCCAGTGGATAAAATCCACTGGTTAAATTCGATGGATAATGCACTATGCGTTCTCGAAAATCAACTTATATTTGTAAAATCTTTAGAAAGTTGATAGAACGATTAAATATTTATTTTAACTCCATGACTGAACGACAATT